GATTTATGTCAGCTCACATTCTGTGGTGGAGTGCAAGTCAAAGTATATAAATAATTTGTAGCAGTTCTAGTTTTTTAATGAGTCTAAAACAGTTCAGGTATCTCAAATGAAAAGAAGGATACTGAGGTTGGTTCAGTAGTAATTTGTTTAAACAAAAGTGAAAGATGCTTGTGTTCAAGTGCAAAATTGCTCCTCCTCTTTTATATGAATGCAGCAGCAATCAGATAATTAAGTTCCTTGTTCTTAATATGTATATTTGTACAAAATTTGAATATCTGATCTTGGAAAAAAAAATAGGATTCTTTTCATCTTTTGTTTAGTTCAATTTAGAATTTGCATTGATTGTCTTGTATGTATCTTGCATTTTTTTGAAAGAAGTATATGTGCTGTAGTATCAGGACATCCTTATGCTGTACTGTGCTGAATAAAGGCTATAGCCGAAAAAGCTGATTTCCAGGTAACTCATGTTATCTACTTTAATCCTCATGATTTGAGTTCTAGTTGCAATTTTAGAGAATTTATCTAATAAAATTTAATCTACAGCAAATTAGCAGATTAAAATTAAGCTGTTGCTTTGATCTTTTTAGACTCTCAATTTTAGCAGGTAACCCTAGGAATTTCAAAGATATCTTGCTGTGAATACTATCTGTCCTAAAGGAGAAATTTCTGAGCTGATTCATCTGACTAAGAAACCTGTATAAAACCTCTTGTGATAGACAAGCTTGATTTCATTCAGAGTGGGGAAGAAGGGCTGTTTCTGTCTTTGGAGAGTAGGCCTTGTGTATTCAAGCTTGTGAAATCTGCCTCCCGTGACACAGAGCTGTGGAACTGCCTTCATATTTCAAGTCTGTGGGGAAGACGCAAAAGATAACACACGAAAATGGTAACACTTCTTTTTCAAGAGAATACCATTGGTGAAGAAGTACAAACCCACTCTTCATCAGGCTACCCCATTCTTTGTCCCCTGTGACCAGAGTAGTTTATTTTCTTGTCATCAATTTGCAAGCAAAAGTATTAAATATTTTAACAAACAGAGCATGTGTCCGCATTGTCGCCAGGAACATTTCTCACTAACCTGAGACCTTAACCGTAAGCTCTAGAAATAGCATTTACTTCTGTAACTGGCCTGAGAAAATTCTTTACTCCTATACACAAGAATATTTTATTCAGAACCATTAGTGCTAACACAGCACAAAAGACAAACTTCTATCACAGACCAAAGCTTCAGTCGCCTTGCAGTGATGCCAGCAGTACTTCCACAAAGCCTCTCAACAGCAGCTCTGTATATTTTCTCTGGCAGCAATACCCATTCTGCCTCACAAATTGATATTGATACCCACCAGATTAAAAGAGGCAGCTTATTCTCCTGTATGTCTTTGGGAGAAAAAAAAAAGAAAAAAAAAAGTTGATTTTCTCAAAGGCTTTTCTATAACAGCACCTGCTTGCTGCCAAGGCTGGGAGGAGCGAGGAGCACTGGTTACCTCAGAGGAGAGGTTTTGCTGGAAGGAAGGCCATGCGGCCTGGTGAGCAGCAGCAGCAGGTGGATCAGCAGTGCCATCCGACACCGGCAGGCGTCCTGCCCCCGCCGTGCCCGCAGGGAGAAGGGAGCAGACCCCGTTCCGCGGGACCCCTTTCGCCCGTGGCCTTTGCAGGCACTGTCGTATTAATGTAGGAGGGAGAGCAGGTAATTTTCGTTTCTCTAAGTTTCAAAGACTTCCTGAAAATTAGCATCTTTACAGCCATTTTTCTTTTTGGGAAATTTGCTCAGAGGGAAAACTCAGTAATTGAGTTTATTATAATAGATGTAACACCAGTTTAACGTTCTGCTTTTATTTATTTGGTGTCTGCTTTTCAGACAAATGTTCTGCCTCAATGGCCAGGAAAGCAATTCTCTTCCTAACATTAGGTTCCTTCCCAAGGAGGGCAAAAAATGCATGGAAATCAAAAGTTGGTAGTTTCAATTCTCACAATACCTTACAGTTGCTCTTGATCATGTGAATACCATATTGAATGGATAAAAGTACTTATTTTTTAATATTAAAAAAGTTAATTTAAAATAAATTCTAGTGATATTTTAGTTTTTAACATCCCACTAGTTTTGAGACACTGATGACTTCTTAAGACCAAACATATTGACATGTTACAATCCTAAAGTCACCAGACTAAAGAATTTAAACAGCTGGCAGTATTAGGTGAAATCTAAAAGGCAGGGCTAGAACAGGCATGGAATTCACAGCGTGCATCTGCAGCGTCTCTTTGGCTCATGAGGTCTCCATGGGGGCTAGCTCAGCTCCAAGCAGCAGAGAGGATCCTTGGCACAGAGGTCAGGCTGCTCCTCGTCCTCCTCGCCCGCACGGTGCGACACGGTGCTCAGCCCTGCAGGACACCCCGCCGGCTCTGCCACGCTGGCATCGCCGGCGCGCTGGGGCTCCATGAGCACCCAAATCCTACTGCTTGCCTCCATGGCAGAGTGGCTGGAAAGCTGTGTGGCAGAAAAGGATCTGGGGGTGCTGGTTGACAACCAGCTGAACATGCGCCAGCAGTGGGCCCAGGTGGCCAAGAAGGCCAGCGGCCTCTTGGCTTGTATCAAGAATAGTGCAGCCAGCAGGACCCGGGAAGTGATCGTTCCTGTGCTCGGCCCTGGTGAGGCTGCACCTCTAATACAGCGTCCGGTTCTAGGCCCTGCACTACAAGACAGACATGGGGGTGCTGGAGCATGTCCAGAGAAGGGCAATGAAGCTGGTGAAGAGGCTGGCACAAGGGCCTGATGAGGGGCGGCTGAGGGAGCTGAGGTTACTTAATGTCTGGGGGAGGCTCAGGGGAGTCCTCATTGCTTTCTACAACTACCTGAAAGGAGGTTGTAGTGAGTTGGGGTCAGTGAGTTGTGGTCTTCTCCAGAATAACTACCCACAGTGCAAGAGGAAATGGCCTCAAGTTGCGCTGGGGCGGGTGGTTCAGGTGAGGCAGTAGGAAAAACTTCTACATGGAGTGGTGAAGCATTGGAACAGGCTGCCCAAGGAAGTGGTGGAGTCACCATGCCTGGCAGCGTTCAAGAAAGGTGTAGATGAGGCACTTGGGAACATGGTTTAGCATACAGGGTGTTGAAGGGCTCATGATTGGACTCAATGATCTTGAAGGCCTTTTCCAGCCATAATCATTCTATGATTTTATGGAACACTTAGCTTTTTAATTTGCCTTTCCTAGCACAACTGGAAATCACAACTAGCTCTTTCGCTTAAGAAAAATTCTATTCCCTACGTTATCCTGACCTTTTAAAATGACAGTGAACTAAAATCTGCTAATGACACATTCGATAACGTTAAAGTCACTAATGAAAACAATGTTAATGCCAACATGTTTTGTGTTGCTATAGCACAATCACAGACATTGCTAAAGAGTGGAAGAATCACTCTCTTCAAAAAATAATTTTATTCTTTAGAAAGAAAGCAGAAAATGTTACAATGAAAATCGTGCATAAACAAATGCATTCATAGTAGTTAAATACCATCAGATTGCCAGATTGCAGCATTCACCTCTCCAAAATGCGGATGAATCATTCCAGAATTTTGACTAGCAGGCCACTGACATACATCCAATCACAAAATATGGAGATTTCCCCCAAATACTGGTACAAACTTTGTGAGCCCACTGTTTTAAAGGCAAAGTAAACATGTCTTTTTAAAGAACGATAAAACACAAAATTAGCATATCTTCCCTTGAAACAACCCCCCACATGTCCTGATTAGAAGTGAGAAAAAAAAGTCTAAAAAATTGAGTGGATAAAGAAAAAGAAGATGTAAAGAAAGACACTTCTATCTCTTGCCTCCTAGTATGTTAAAAAAACAAAGAGACTCCCCAAATGGAATGTTTCTAAAATAGTTGTGCTATGCACCAAACACCAGATTGAAGGAGGCCAGTTACTACTGCACTGTACAGTCATGCACGACAGCTGAACATACATCAGGTATCCTTTTATCTAGATACCAAGAGACAACTGTTTGTGAGACTATTGCGTTTCCATGCATAGAATTGAAAAATTGAAAAAAAAAAACAATAAAAACATGGAAGACTAGAAGCAGAACTATCCTAAAAGGCATCAATATGGAAAATACAATTCTAGCTCTAAAGTGCTCTTTTTTATAAAAATACTTCTGTGTAGAAAATTTCATGCAGGCACACTTCACATCTGCAAATGCCACAACTATCAAGTAACTAGAAGATCCGCGGGATCTATGCATCTAGTGGACGTCGTAAAATCCTAATGATTCTATCTAACATTTGTTTGTCATAACAGAACAATGTCTAGTTCCAGCTAATGACTTCACTGAAACAGAAAGCAGAAGATGCTGAAGTTTTTGTGGTTCAAATAAATAAGAAACAAATGATTCATATGGGATATTTTGTTGGTTTGTTTCTGAGAATTTTGAACTGGGGTGAGAATTCTCTTTCAAGTACTGCTTGTTGTCTAGCCATTGCTCCTGAAAAAAAAATAGAGAGGAGTTTAATATTTTTAAAGACATATTGCCTTTATATTAACCTACTACAAAAGATAATGAGCTGAAAGCACAGTACAGGATACAGTGTATTTTCTCTTGCTGGGAGTTGTCACTGGTAAGATCTCCATAGACTATATTTTGTAAATGTGATGTGATGTATGCCATGGTGCTGTGCTCATAAATTAATCCAGCAGTAGGTATATTTACAAAATCAGATTAGAAGATGTACAGAGAAGAGACTGCACCATAAAAGCCTCAACTCAAAAGAGAACAAAATTCAATGGCTTAAAAAAAAAAAAAAAAAAACTTCTTCATCAGCTGCTGGAATCCAGGTAATCCTGCTCGTAGTTCTAATTCAGGTCTGCAGTTGGAAGAATGTTAATTATGAAAATATGTACAATTGAATATATGCACATCCTTTTAATCTCCTATCCAACTATGCTGTGTCAGGACAAGATTCTCACTTCATTTAAATTGCACTATTTTAAAGTCTCCTACAGTTTTATTACAGGGCATTTTTACAGTCCACTTCTTCCAAAAGCCACTCAAGTCCAGTTAGCAGTCCATCTAAAGTAGCAGCTACGGTATCCTGCACCTGTAAAAATCAAAAAAGCCACACCATTACAGATTACAGGCAACGAATCTAACAATATTCTATCAGCACTTCTGTCTATTCTTATGCACTTCTGTCTATATCTTAGAAATATTCATGACAAAAATAAATTTTATCACTGGTTTCTAGGTACTTTGACAGCAGAGGTCCCTTAGAATAAGGTTCAAAAAGATGACACTATTCTTTACATAATAATTACAAGAGATGTTAGGAAAACCGTGCATTTTTGATATCATAGCAAATTTTATACCAATCTCTCCATCAGAATATTTATTATTACTTTAGAGATGATGATCTACTTGAAAATAGTTTTAATAATTCTTAGAGGAAAAATGCTGCCAGCTTTAGAATTCAAGACTTATTATTTCTTCTCCAATTTTCTAATATATTATGAAGTGATTATTATTATAAATGATACTTTAAAAAAAACATTCTCCTTGTAAAAACAAAGGAATTAAATCTCTATTTTCTTTGATTATTACCCTTTAACTATGCTATGCTATCAAAGAGAAAAATTTGTGTTACTGAGATACACTGATATACATTGTGCTCAACAGGCATGAAAGAATGGACTCAGGACCTCATGGGCAAGACAAAAACTGTGATTTGCCAAAAACTCAGTACAGCCTGTCAAAACAGTGACAATTAAGTCTCCTGAAAAAATGACAGAAAAGTCTACCTTGTAGCTAAGGCCTTGGGGTGAAGGAAATTCAGAATAAATTATATTTATTGCTCAAGTGGAGTGTTCAAATAACAATGTTGAAAGCTACACATTTACTTCAGTATGTGCATTTCAAGAATACAATAAGCCTAAACTGCATTTAAGCATGCAGAAATGGAGGAAAGCAAAGGTTTAAAAGTAAGTACCATCCAGGGTTGATGTAAGAGATTCAGTTGCAAATGATGTGCCATGTAAACACAAGGAATTCTTTCCACACCAACATGAGAGATGCAAGACAAAACCAGCAGAGGTCTGTTTCGCGGCCCAAGAGCAGGATCGGTCATTGCTAAAATATGGGCCAGTTCTTCTTCACGGTCATGCTCTAGGAAATAAGTTGTAATACATAAGTATTAAAGTTGTAATACATAAGTATTAAATATATGCAAATCCCAAGCAATTTTTTTTTTAATCCTGACTTTTCAAATACTTATTGTTTTAGTTCACAGAAGTAAGGAAACACAGGGCTTAAAGTGGTCATGTGCAAATTACCTAATTCTGATATCTCAGGGCTGGATCAGCTGCACTCACATCCTTCTTAGCTATTTAAAGACTTCTGCAGATTTGCAGACAATCTTAACATCAGAGCATTTTACAAGTACCCCAGAGAGATCAAAATCACCACTGAGAAAGGCTGATGCCCACACAGTCAGTAACCCTTCCCTACCAACTTAATTCTTCTTGCTAGGATATCCTCCCCATTTTTTTTTAACCCCATGCTTTCCTGAGCAAGTTCTTTCCCTCCATTTAAAGTTGATGAATATAAAAGCTGTCCACCATAACATGTGTTTAGATTTCCCTTACTTAGGCTATTATTATAGGACAATCCTAAATTGTGGTGGTTACATCTTACACTGCAGTGCTCCTGGTAAAAGTTCTGTTTCCAGGTTATTACATCAGCACTGCTGTATTTCAGGCTTCTTCTCCCACTCTCCCTACCCCTGTACTCCCCTACTGCCTCCCAGGCTTTGTTTTGTTCTTTTAGTGCAGATCATTTCCCAGATCTGACTTGGCATGCAGTGCTAGCACTGACAGAATGGGCCATAACCCCTTGCAGAAAGGAGAAGGAGTGTGTCTGGGAGAGGGGACCTCTCCCTGAAGAAATAGCACCAAGGAAGCAAACATTGAAAGAAGTAGAATATGGATTTCCATGTTTTCTATATTCTTTACAGATTCGTTTATGACATTTCAATCATTTACAAAATATGCATAAATACAATAAAGAGAAACCTCGTACTTTTATGAGCTTCTGCATTAGCAACATAGATGAATCCATCAACTACTTGGCACACCTTTTTCACTTGAGCTATTACACTGTAGTGCACCGCTTGCTGATTTCCCACTGTAGTGCTGTCTTGGTAGAACATCTTATTGACAACAACAGCTTGTTCCGCCCTTGCTCTTCTCCTTTCCACACTGGAAGATATTAACATACTCCAGCCATTTAATAATAGCAGCCAGGTTAATTTAGCTAGAAATTAAAAAACAGAGTCTACGCAGAGATCAGCAGATCAAAGTTTCGGAAAAACAGCCTAACCAGGAAAATGGTTTTGTTGCCCCCATTTTTTTACAGGTGTATACATATAGATGGTTAGCAGGCTGCAATATGCACATTAAAACACACTCCAGGATGAATCTATAAAATATTTCAAAAGGGAAACCGTCAGAATGTATATAGGGGCAGAATTACCTGTTTATGTATTTGTCTTAAAACATTTATTAGGCATTAGTGTGGGTGAGAAGGATTATTATTTTCACGTGGAAATTGAGCGAGTGGAGAAAGACACAGGGAATAAACCGGGGATGCAACATCTGTATAACGGATAGCTATCTAGGCAATAAAGGCATAAGACTTACATCATGAAACCAAGAGAAAAAGTACAAAACAAGTGAGAAATTGTACCTTCTTTCTTTTGAGGAAAATACCCTTACCTGGTGGTTGAATACAATGTTAGAATGTTGAATTTTTGATTGTTACTGAACTGAAAACTTACTCCTGATCCAATCCCTAGAAGGAGAAAATGAATGTATGAGATTACAAGTATATGGTTGTTGAACACAACTTAGCGATAGGCTGAAAATTCTACCAGGGCTGTCAACTAGATGCACCTAAATCTGGGTGTTGTCGCTGCAGGGGAAGCACACATTAATATGAAATTTAGGGTTTGTTAGGAAGTAAAATCAAAAGAAAATCAGGAGGAATTTCTATGTTTTTCGGTTTTTGATACTTGTATTAGAACCTAGGAATTTAAGTCATGGAAGAGTTGATTTGCATCTGCTACCCAAAACTGACATGGGAAAGCTCTAGTCTAGTTAGGACAAGCTGCATTGAAAAAGACATGAAAGAGAAAAGAAAATAACACCAAAAATGTGTATTTTTCCTATAAATGTAATTTAATTATCCCAATTTTGCTGTGCTTAAATGTTGTCTACGCTTACCTAAAAACAGTTAAAAGAATTGTATCTGTTTTGAACTGAAGCAAAATTACACTTGTCAGAAAGGTTTTTTTTAAATCCCTTCTAAATATCAAAAAGAATATTTCGCCTGAACCTCCATCCCCCTTTTTAATGAGAAAAACTTATATTCATTCAACACCAAAATATTTAATCAGATAAAGAATCAGTATAAGAAGACAAGCATAGTTTCCACCACTAAATAATAGTGGCACTTACAGACACTATTTAAAGGAAGTCATGTTCGTACTTTCCCACTACAGCAGCATACGAGGCATGGAAATTAGGGCAGAAATACAAAGAGCAAAATCTTGATCCTCTGATCCTGTACAAGTTTAACCATTAAGTCCAGTGGTGCTAAAATTCTGGCCTGCCTTGTTACTGTGTTTGCCCTTTGATACATACATATATATATATATATATAAAGAGAAAATTTTTTTTTACAATTACATTATTGACCTTCAACACAAGCATTAAAAAAAAATGCTCCTATTTTTCCACCAACGTTTTTTGTTTTTTAAGATGTATCTTTTCATAAAACTCAAATCACCACCAACAAAAGCGTTACCATGAATTCGTCTTTGAGGCAGGCCAGCCACTAGCAGAATTTCTGGGCAAGTCATCATCTTCTGCACTAAAGAGTCATCCAGCTCTTCCAACCCTGGCCCAAACATAGCAAAGCGAGGTTCTGTCTGAGTGACCAGTGATTGCAAGAAAGATGCCACAGCCCCATACCGGGGACGGTTTGATTTCAGACTTCTTCTACTCTGAGGGCAGCTTTTTTTGTATCTGTGTAAAATAGACGCAACTAGAAATTAAACACAAAATATAAAAGACGTATTAATCAAAGAACACCAACTAATTTAGGTCCCCAAATTCTCATGCTGTATTATCAGAGCATCTTAAGCACAGGTCTAAAATGACAGTTAAAAAAAAATCGATGGTTGAGATCACCAGCACCAAGCAGCTAAAACCACTATAGCCCTGCCAAGTTTCAAATGCTGATGTTTAGGACCTTATAACAGTTCTATACGATAGATTTCCTACTTTATAAATATATTCATAAATATTTATAAAGTTCTCATACATATGATATAAAAACTTCCCCCAACCCTCTAGCATCCCTTGCACACACAGTATTTGTAAAATAACAGGGAATGTGAGGAATTTAATACTATGTAAAAACATGAGAATTCTGGGTGAACCTGTAATCAGACCTCCCTTTATGCTTATTATTTCTAAAAAGGCAACTTCATCTGAAAAAGGCCTTATCCCTTCCACACATTAAAAAGGATCATTTGATTTGTGTTCATTTGATGCAGGAGCTGGAAGGCATGAAAAGACTTTGGCCATCACAAGAGAGGACAGTGAAAGGGATAACAGGCAACCTGGAGACGTTTCTGCCTTCGCATCTGGTCCTGTGATGCTAGAAAATCACTCCCACAAAACATCAACTGTGTGCACCCTGCCTCCAGCCCAAGGCACTGCAGTTGGCATTATCAAAACAATGAGGTGCTCACAGACACCGTGGAAATCAGGGACGGCTGGCTTCAAATATGTGATGTGAGCAGAAGTATTCAGCCCTGAAGAGATTTAAACCCAATGTTCACAATTAAAGGGCATTTTATACTTCGAATTCCAGGGTGCCTTTACCTGCCTGTAAAATGGGGAACAGAGACAGACAGACTGTCAAGGTTAGGGCATTTATTGCAAAACAAGAGGTTCGTGAATCCCTCTAGGAAATTCTTATCCCATGCGGAAGTTGAACACTGCACATTAAATCAGAGCACTGAGTCACGTTACACGCACACAGCAGTCTGCCCGGCTTCGCTTGCTCCCCCGCCCCCAGCCCGAGCGCGGCG